GCCAGAAAACGCAGAAACGAGCACGTGAACGGTGAGCTCTGCGGCAGGGCTCACGTCGCCGCTGGCGTCTGGTGCAAGGCCCTCATCGAGGCCAAATGGGCCGCATATGCACAGATCCATCAGAATGACAAAGTGAATTATAGGCTTTAGGGGTTTGCAGTATAAATCTCAGGTCGGATCGCCTGTCCGTTCGCCGGAGCATTCGCGGGCGCGGTCTCGGTCGGTGCGCCCTCAGTTTCGGGTTAAGAGTTCAGGAGGGTTTTGGTGGTCAGGCATTGATGGATCCGGGATGTTTAGCGATGTAGGGCTTGAGATTTAGGTTTGAAGAGCTCACTGACTCCTGGAAGGATTCCATTTACACCAAATAATTACCAATACTTTTTGGAGGTCCCTTACTATAACTATAGTGTAATGGGCCCCAACATCCTAATATTCTAAGTGTTACGGACTGTAGATTAGTACTGTATACGTCATTGCTTCATTGGACCTGCCACACCCTTACTCGCTCCCACTTCATGATCGCACCGATCCCCTATCAACAACCTCACAAGACTGCACAGCACCTTCAACTCCCCTAAACCCCCATCATACAGAACCATATGACACTCTTGTTAAGGCCTTTCACGATCCACGACCAAAACCCGCAGAGCTAAGCCCTCAATCTTAAACCTGAAACTATGTTCCTAAACTCTAAGCCTAAACCCTATACGGTGTTCTCGTTCAGGGGTGTAATTTCAGTTACCACAATAGGGATCTATAGTAAATGACACGGATTCTTCATTATTAGTTCCTTAAACTGAATATCCCTTAACCAAAACCCAGAACCCTAAGCCCTAAACCGTTAGATGCCTGCCGGAGCCCTACTTAAAGGCTCATGGGACTTAGTAAGTAAGGTTATCAGTAGGTTATCATTACTTAGGGGACTTATAACCCCAATTATAACCCACTTACTAAGTCCCATGATCCTCTAAGCAGACCCTAAACCCTAAACCCCTTTAGATCCCATTTTAAGGAACCCTATAGATCCCTTTAGAGGAACCCTTATAAAAATCCCTCTAAAGGAACCCTTATAGATCCCTTTAAATGAAGTACTTGGAGGGTCGGGGGACTTAGTATCTGGTTATTTTAGGGACTTATAAGTACTTTAACCCCAATTAGGGTCCCTTTTAGGGTACTTATAAGTCTACTTACTACCTACTTACTAAGTCCCCCGACCCTCCAAGTAGGTTATGCGATTTCAGGCCTCTGCAGGACGACTGGGCCTTGAAGACTTGCAAATCGGCTGCCACTATCGGGCTCTAGGGTTTCTATTAGGGTTTAGGGTTTAGGGGTTTAGGGTTCAGGGGTTTAGGGGTTTAGGGTTCAGGGTTTAGGGGTTTATGGTTTAAGGGTTCAGGGTTTAGGGGTTTAGGGTTCAGGGTTTAGGGGTTTAGGGTTCAGGGTTTAGGGGCTTAGGATTCAGGGTTTAGGGGTTTAGGATTTAGGGTTTAGGGGTTTAGGGTTCAGGGTTTAGGGTTTAGGGGTTTAGGGTTTCTATGCAGGTTGTATACGGCCCCATGCAGCTTTTTGGCACAAGTGGATCGTGTAAGTGTCCAAATGCCGAAGTTACTTAGCATAAGCAATATCCCCTGCGGCCCTACAGTGAACCCCAAAAAGTTGGAACATGGTTTAAGGATGATTAGGAGGATAATGATGTTCCACCATTCTGGATTCTACTATCCCCAAGGCTCCATGTACCCATATAGTACATATTTAGGCCTGAAAGTGCCTAAATAGGGACCCCTTTAAGGCTTAAGTATCTACTATAAGGGTACATGGAGCCTTTGGGTATAGACCCCAGCCCCGAAACCTTTGCTATGCTCTTCATGACTTTGCGCACCCGACGACCGAAGGCCTACGATTTCGGTATTTATATAGGACACTGAGGGGCCATCGTCCCTTTGGGGATGCCTAATATAGTACGGCACCTAATATTTAGGGTACCCCAAAAGGGACCTCAATTTTGACAACCACCCATCTATGCGGACTCTATCAAGTTTTTGTAAGGTTTCTTTAGCAGTTTAGGTTGAAGGGTTTGCGGGGAATCGGGTAGCAGGAGCCGCTTGGCATGGCTGCAGGGTCACAGGTTTATGAATTACGGGTTTAGGGTTTTCGGGTTTAATTAGGATTTAGGGTTTGGGTTTAATTAGGATTTTCGGGTTTGAGGCTCTTTGATGCGAAGGGTTAGGGTTCACAAGGTTTAAAGTTAAGGCTTTCAAGCTCTGTGGTTGGGCTCGCTTCAGGCCCGCACCACTTGGAGAGTCAAAAGGAGCACACACAGGTCAACACAACAAGGTTGAAGGTTTAGGGTTTTGCAATGCTTCATGAGTTGTAAGAGGGTTTGCTAGTAGCTTATTGGGGTTACATGTACACGCAGCCAAGTAAACTTATGAGTGATAATCTCAGTTGGGGTTGCATGTCGTTATGGCCATAACATACAGCTCTGAAAAAATTGCAACAGTATCTCGTCGTGAACCAGAGAACCATGCTGAAATATCGTACATCATAATCTTAAGCCGCAACCCATCGTAGAACCCTTATGAAGCCCTAGTAGTAGAGTAGGTATCCTTTAACCTTTTTTGAGTAGTATAGTCCCTATACAATCCCTATGTAACCAAAAACGTTAGCCTTTAGTTCCCCATGATACCCGACAAGTAGGAAGCCCCGGTCCTACTGATCAAAACCAGTATCTTGATTTGCACGAGTCAAAGCGGCTTGATCCAAAAGCACTCGGCATGGCAAAGGCAGGCACAAAGAGATCATGCGCCGCGCGCAGGTTCCCTACAAGTGAAGATATACCGGGTTTATACCAAAAAACTACACAAAAGTAGGTTATGGTTTAGGCTTTAGGGTTTAGGGTGTTATGGTAGTCTAGGGTAGTCTCCGACTCCTGCCGAGGATTCCGAACTGGTCTCGCCTTTCCACGAAGGACCGAGGTTCTGTATTCCGCGACTCGCCCTGATGGAGTTGTTTAGGGCTTAGAGTCCAGAGTTTAGGGCTTCGGGGTATGCTGACTTTCTAGAGTCGCAGTGGACTTGGGGCCTAGAGATCATGACATCTGTGCAGGAACATCAAAACTAGCCACTTTCGTCTTTGTCGCGGCTCATCATGAGTAGTCTTGTTTGTTTATGTTAGGGCTCGAAACTGGGAAGTTCTAGGAAGTACAGTGGAGACGAAAGCTGCAGGTTACCACGGTGTAGGGATTTGCACACATTTCATCCAGATGTCGCTTGCTAACGTGGTCTCAATCAGGCTTTCTATTGTGTGGTTGCTCTAGGGCATTGCGGAGTTCTCATGATATAGGGCTCATTTGGAAAAAGTTATCTGATAACCAGGTTCTCTTTGTCTGTGCCTGTAATTACGGTGTTAGAGGGTCTTCAAACTGAGGTTGCCATCGCTACAACTAGGCCCAATCCATTGCGAAACCGCAAAAGCCTTGCAACATCGCTGCAAAATCTAAACGCAAGCCCCAAGGCAATCTAGATGTTGAGAAGACGTCGACAGACTCTGTAATTAAGAGTTCAAGCACGAGGCACCAGTCAGCCACTAGTCAATGGTTGACACGAAATGTGGTGGCAGCGTAGTGTTTAGATCCAGATTAGATATTCACATGAACATCCCGTTGTGGGGCCCTTACATGGAACGCTTAGAAGGAGCCCAACTCTCAACGCTAACGCCTCTGATGTAGGACCCTTGGGCCTTTACTAGGGCTGTTTATATGAATCTTATCATTTTGGGATTAAAGGCCCCCCCAAACCCCTAAACCCTAATTAAACCCTAATTCAACCTTAAACCCCTAAACCCTAAACCCTGAACCCTAAACCCTAAACCCTAAACCCTAGGCCCTAAACCATCATTAAATCACATCATTTCCAGGAGGGCACTGAGGTGCCTTTGTGCGCCGAGTTCCAACGACGCAGTAGGTCATCACTCTTCACTAAGATGGTGTAACCCCCCAAAGGGTCGTAGGTAAGGGTGCTAGGTAGTGTTAGTTGGGATATTTTCCCAAATTATACTAGCAGTTCTTAATTATTGTAGAAACCCTACATTCTACTATACACGTGCTTAGGACCCTTTGGGCCGGCAAAACCCGAAGCCCTGAAATCCCAGAACCCGCTGCCTTCTGAAGTTTATATTACAGTAGAACCTAGAAAGTTGGAGCATCATTATCCCGATGCCCTTCAGGTAAAGCATAAGGGGATCCTATCATAGCCATGTTCCAACTTTCTGGGGTTCACCATAGCCCTCTGCAAGACCCTCAGATCCGCACAGAGGCAGAGAATGAGGCAAACCTTTTACGAAGATATTCCGCATTGTATACAGTGACATATTCAACCGGACCCGCCACTGCTGGGGCCCTAGCCATAAACACCATGCCCGACAGCTTGAACCCTACACGTTCAACTACTACCTGTAGCTGCGCACCCCACAGTATAGGTCATGAGAACATGATTTGAGGGCTCTAGCCTATCCCTTATTATAAGAGGTACCCTAAACACTAAACCCCTAAACCCTGCTGTCCTTTAAGAGGCACCTTAAACCCTGAACCCTTTTGTCCTCTAAGAGGTACTTTAAACCCTAAACCCTTTTGTCCCAAAAGTGTGTAGTGCTTAGCCTTGAAACCCACACCCCCAAGCCCTCAAACCCTTCAAACCCCAAGCCCGAATGTTAAGGGTTTAGAACATAGTTGAGGGGTTTAGGGGTTTAGGGTTCAAACAGAAACCCTCAAGCTTTCTCCCCACATGCTCAGCGCGAAACCTGAAACCTATTTACTAATTTACGGGCTTCCCCCTAACCCCGCACCCTAAATCCCTAGTCTTAGTGGCCTCGGCACGGACGTTCTGACGTAACTATCGTGCGTACTGAAATCGTGCGTTCTGAGACCGTACGTTCTGAAAGACCTGATCAAGTTGCACCTTTTGGCCCTGAGTTGTAGTCTGCTTGCATTGGCCTGGTGCATCATGGCAAGAGAGCCGCTAGATGCTGCTCTTGCAGCAGATCTGGAGCGGCTGGGACATGATGCGGCTGCGGTGGCTGCTGGCAAATGGCCTACTCGAAACCTGACGGACAGGAGTCTGCAGTTTCTCAGAGGCCGGACACTCCATGTGTTTCTTGGACCCCTCAAAACGCACCATTTCTGGGCGACACAGGAGCAAAGGCATAGGAGGGGATTTCATTGAGGGTCCGCTCCATAGAAATTGTAACAGTGGACACGGATTGGTGCGTTTATAAGCCGGCTGAAAACGCACACGTACGTTTTCGGATGCCTCGTGCATTTAGGTCCAGGCAGTTCTTGATCGATTTGGCCCTAAAGGGTTCACTGCATTGCCCGACTGTTAGCTCAACCTTTTCCGTATCAGGCCGCTTCATCTGCGGGATCTTGAATGACAAGCACACATATTTCTGCAGGCGGTGTTCCTGGACGTGTCGCCAGAGAAGTGCGAATAGATTGTTCGAGCATGCGGTGTTTGGCAAACACGTGAAGCTTTCGTCGTACTTGGACATTCATGGTCTAGAGTCGAAGAACCAAGTGCCTCAGGAGACACAGCAGTTTATTGAACGATATCGTGGCACAGGGAACTGCACCTCTCCGTGCGAACAACCCGTCGACAAGGAAGAAGCCCTGAACATGGCTGATTTGGGAGAGCCAGCTGCCATAACCTGGTGCAAGTTCAACAGATGGCTGCCTTTGTCATGGAAACCTTCTCGGACGTCCAGCCCAGCGCAAGGTGAGCTGCAGATGGCTGGCCATGCCTTGGATCAGGGAGCTTTTGCTAAACTTTAGACTGTAGAACTTTCGCTGGAGGGAGAATGTTTTCAGGGTGCGTTTTCCGGACCCTGAAAAACGCACAGCGGTTTTTGTGTGGCCCATGCCCAGGAGCAGCCGAGCGCAAACACGTGGTGGCCATGGTGTGCGCTGCCATGTCTGCTCGGGCCCAGGATGTTGATGCAGCTGACAGTACATGACGCGTCAAGTGCATCTTTGCATCTTCAGGTTCGCTCCAACGAGCATCCGATGTGGCGAGCCTTTCTCAAGACTCTCTCGCCAGAATACAGAATCCCAGAACGACACAGGATTTGGAGCCTCATCAAAGAGCTTGATGAGGCCATCTCTTGCAAATTGAGAGAGCTGCTGAGTGATGCTTCTCAGATGTGGTTCCTCACCAGTGACGGGGCGACCAGCAAGGGTGAGGGCTTGCTCTCGATCGATTGCAGAAACTCTCATGGTGACTGTTACCATTTAGCTTTGATCAATGGGGAATGGCGAAAGCAAGATGCTGTCTGGATCAAGCAACAATTGAAAGTGGCAGACCCAGTCAGTCAGCATCACTCTGAGCATATGTGTCTTCTTCCGAAAAGCATGCAGAATCTCCAGCGCTCCTGAGGTTCACACCGACCTGATTCCACCGGGGAGATTGGCTGGCCTAAGCTCTTGGCTTAATTATACAGCAGAGACTTGTGAACAGTCCTATTCTTTTTAAGTCTCTAAGGCCAGGACACAGCTAGCACTTGCCGGAAAGCATTCCGTCTCCTTGCGGAAGAGTTACGTGCCTCGGGCCACCATCGCCTGGATTATGTCTCTTGCGGTGAACATGTCGCCCAACTTCTTCATCAAGACCTTGCACGCTGCATACCTTGGGTCCAGGATCTTTCTGAGCATCAGAGTCTGTGTCTTTGCTACTAGTTTCGCATGATGCTCAGCTCAGATTCGGCTCCTGTCAGGAGTCTCACGAACGTGCTCACAATGCACAGAAGGTGATTCTAAAGAGGAAGCGTGCACGGGCCTTTGTGACGGGCGCCCAGAAGCATGCAGTATCTGTTGGGAAGCTGCGTCGTCTCCGAAAGCTCAGAGTGATTCGAAGAACCCGATTCAATTCCCGGGTGCAAGTCCTTGACTCCTTTCTGCTCAACACTCCGCTGATGCGGAGGGTCATTGCAGCTCCTGCCTTTGCGGCCACCATGCAGGTTGACAACGCCAGGAAGCAGAAGAGGGTGGACGAGGCTATGAAAGCTTGGTCTTACGATGCCACATACCACAGAGCACGACGTGCTCTGATCATTGGAGCTCCTTGCGCCGTCCCTGGCCCAGTTGACTGGAAAATTGCATGTTTCTGGACTCTCAGTCATCTTGGAATTGCGACCCGACCCTCCCTTGTGCGTTTTTCCAGGCGCGGAAAACGCACAGATTTGCGCTTCTTCCCTGTGCGTTTTTGCAGAAAACGCACGCGTCCTGTGACAATCAAGCAGCCACTCAGGAAACCCACTCGTGTCCCCAATATTTCGAACGTCCTCATGTCTGGGTGCTTATTGTCAACCCTGCAAAATGCACTTGCGTCCGCTACAAGTTTCAGTCGTTTATTGTGCAGTCGTTCCAGACTTCCTGTGTGCAAGTCTGTAGCTGTACAATGTAAATGTTTGAAGGATTTGCAAGCTGTGATTGATTCCAAATCCACATGCCTGCGACAGAGGTTCTTACCCGCAGAGTTGGCGGTGCAGACTTTTTCAAAGCCCACGCTGCCTGGCTGCACGCCCGCAACGACATCATCAAGGCCGTCGCCGACCATGACTTCGTGGATCACAAACGCAAGGAGACAGAGGCAGTGCTCCAGACTCGAAGGAATGCCATGGCTGAGATTTTGGACAAGCGCTCTGAGGCTTACTGCACCGCTGCCCACAAGGCTGCATTCGTTTTGGACCCCCGGCTGCAAGACTACGTCAACGACCCCGATGCAGATGAAGAGCTTGGCTTCTCTTTCACGCAAGCTCGACAGGCCATCCAAGCCCAAACTCGTTTTGTTGCAAAGATGATGCTGTAACTTGTTTTCCGTACTTTGATCCACGTAGCGCGTGAAGGACGCCGCCTATGTGCTCAACAGCGAGTACCTCCCAAAGTTTTTCTCCGAGCCCACACAGGTCAGGCAAGCCCAGTCGGCTGTTCGCGACTACTTGGCACACTCCGGGCCCTTCAAGAATGTCACTTGGCCCGACAAGAGTGCTTCCGTCGCGGATGTGGTGGGGTTTTTCGAGACCGGCCAGCCATCCTGGTTCCTGCGTGAATTGGGCCTGCACTTTGCAGCCCTTGCAGGCTCCCAAGGCATGTCCGAAAGAACTTGGGCAACACTTAGTCGCCAAGCTCAGCCGATCCGTGCCCGACTCATCTACCCTGCCAAGAAACGGTTGTTGAACATCGCCGCCAACTGGAAGCTTCTTTACCCGGACCTTGCTCCCATGCCGCCAGAGAGGAAGCGTCGAAGGCATGATTTTGAGATTCCGACCCTCGCAAGTCGTCGTGCCGGTCCATCGGAGCCCGCCGCTGAAGGTCCACAACGCTGTGATGAGTCGTCTTCCTCTACGAGCTCCTCCAGCTCGTCCTCTTCCAGCAGCAGCAATGTGCGCGAGATTCCCGACCAAAATGAAGATGAAGATCAAGGCTTTCCAGGTGATTCGCTTGTGGATGATTTGGAGGGTAGCGATGCCCCTGAAGAGGCAGTAGCTGCCAGTGCCTTGCGTGCTTTGGGCCTGGAGCCCTGAAATGTTTCTTCTCGGGCCGCCAATGGCGGCCCAGGATTTCCTGAGCAACAAGGCAAAGAGGAACATGTTAGTATGTTTCGCAATCATAGTCTGGGCACTCTGTATTCTTGGATCGTTCTGTGGGAGCTTCTCAGATCATCCGATCGTGATGCCGTGATGCCTTGTTCTCCAGTCTCATGTGGCTAACCTCAGTCGGGGAGCCGCGACCAGGGTGTCTGTGCGTTTTCACGGCAATTAGAAACGCATTGCGATGAGACACCACAAGCCAAGTGTATTTATTGTATAATAGTCTGGAGTTCGCTGTGCGCTTAGTTTCTGCCTGGAAACGCATCGGGCCGCCAATGCCAGTTGGCGGATCGGGGTTTAGTGAACAACAGGCAAAAGCATAGAGGAAGATGTTAATTAATATGATCGCCATCATTGTTTGGGAAGTAAGTAAACTTGGATCGTTCTCTCTGTGTGTGTTTCTCAAGTCATCAGACTGTGATGCCTTGTTGTCGAGTCTCATGTGGCTAACCTCAGCCGGGGAGCCGCGACCACGGTGTCTGTGCGTTTTCACGGTTCTCACAAACTCATTGTGGTGAGACACCATAAGCCAAGTGTATCTGTATTGCATAATAGTCTATAGTTCGCTATGCGCTTAGTCTCTGCGTGGAAACGCCTCTAATCGCCCATGCCATGCATGGGGGGAGCGGAGTTCAGTGAACAAGAGGAAAAGGCAGAGAGGGTGTCTCGCTTGGCAGACACAAGGTTTTGTGGACACTTCGCTGCTACATGTCAGTTCATGGTTTGCGTGCGTCTAGGGCGGCGCCCAGAAAGGCACGCACGATCTTTGCAGACCTGCCATGCCGTCGCTGTTTTCAAGGGTGCCCTGTTGTAACTATTATTGAATCTTGCAAGCGATGCTGCCAGCAGAAGCCGAATGTGACTGCACCTTCAACTGGACAATTTCAGGTTCCCATAGAAGGCTTGGGTTTGGCTCGTCTTCGTCAGGACCAGCTGCACATGCACAGGGGCCACGTTGCCAATGTTTCCATTGCAATACGGTACAGAGGGGTTGCCATGCGTTTCTGGCTTGGCTGAAAACGCACAGGGCCGCGACAGGCTTTGGTGCAAGATGGGCGCAAAGAATGGCTGCCATGGCAGCAGAAAGGTGTCCGCAGCCCCAGAAGCTTTTGGTGGCGACTGGGGTTGAGAGATGTTGATGTCGCAGGGTTTACAAGGTCTGGTGGGGGGCTAAAGCCTTCGTACTCAACATGGTGCCGCTCGGACTGTCCTTCTTCAAGGTGTTGGGATGCTTTTAGAGACATTTGTTGCAAGGGTTTGGGGTTTAACATTCCGATAAGGAGATGCTGTACGCATCTGGGGTTTAGGATTAGGGTGTCTTTAAAAGGATGATCTAAGGGTTGAGGGTTGCAGTTTTTAAAGATTCCTTCCAAGAGATGCTATACGGGCGGTTGCTGTTCAGGTTACTATAAAGCGTTGCAAAAAAAGGCTCCAACACGGACAGGGCTGAGGGGCTTCAGGACTTACGCAGCCGTAAGCCCCCCTGGAAGTCCCTTCAAAGGGGTTTAGGGACCGGTGATTGAGGTTTCCGGCTGAGGTGAGGAACGGAATCCTCACGGTGCAGGGCTGGGTGATTCCAGGTTCGTTCAAGGATTCGGGTTTAGGGTTTAGGGTCTGTTTGGGGTTTACGGTTTAGGGTTCAGGTTTGACGGTTTAGGGTTGGTCCAGGCTTGGTTTCGGGTTGGTTTAGGCTTGGTTTAGGGTTGGTTTAGGTTCGGGTTTAGGGCAATGTTGTGAGTTTTGAAGCCAGCACTGAAAACTCAAAGTGCGTTTTTCGACCCTCTTACAACGCATTTCGAATCCGAACCCACGTCCTCAGCTCTTAGCCCTGTCACTCCCAGGCATGTCTAGCCCTACAAAAAAACAAACCCCAAAACCCCAAGCCGTAGGCCCTCAACCCTAAACCCTCAACCTCAAACCCGCAAAGTGCGTTTTTGGACCCTGTCAAAACGCACAGAATTCGAAGCCAAGAACTGAACCTTCAAAAACCTAAAAACCGGAAGCCCTGTCTCTTCAAAGGCGAACCTGCGATTCGCCATCTGCGCCCGAGATCCGAGCGTGCTGCGCTTACCGGCCTTCACCCTATCGCCGAACTGCAGCCATCAGTCCCCGGTTTAGGCTAGTTTGGCTTTGGGTTTCAGGGTTGAGGGTTTGGGGTTTTAGAGTTTAAGGGTATGTGTTTACCACAACGAGAGTCCGTGTAGAAGGGATGCTTCATCCCACTTTTTGAAACCTCAAAAAAAAGACGAGAACCCTAAACCCTAAATCCTTAAGCCCAAAGCCCTAAAGCCTCAAAACCCACGTCCACGGAAGCAAAGGGCAAGACGAGAACCCAGCTTGCGCACCTCAGCCTTCCGTGAGGTGGGTCCCGGCTTTAGGTTTAGGCTAAGGGTTTGGGTTTAAGGTTTGGGGCCCTCCTGTGCGCTGAGACCTTCGCCCATGTCCTGCTGTAGTAAGCCTCCATAAACACCCTTGCCCGTTAACCGAACCAGCAAAATCTCCTCGTGTAGTAGTCACCACCACCACCACCACCACCACCACCACCACCACCACCACCACCACCACCACCACCACCACCACCACCACCACCACCACCACCACCACCACCACCACCACCACCACCACCACCACCACCACCACCACCCGTGCCCGAAAAGGGAAATCAAAATGCGGTTCCCCACCCCCGTCCTGGGATGGGGGTGGCAACCGGGGCACGACCACCACCACCACCACCACCACCACCCGTGCCCGAAAAGGGAAATCAAAATGCGGTTCCCCACCCCCGTCCTGGGATGGGGGTGGCAACCGGGGCACGACCACCACCACCACCACCACCACCACCACCACCACCACCACCACCACCACCACCACTTAGAGGACTTATAACCCCAGTTATAACCTACTTACTAAGTCCCATGATCCTCTAAGTAAGGGAACGTTGGAACGGCAACCCCCTACTGGCATAAAGACTCTGGGTTCAGGATTGTTGAGGCATGGTCGTGGGTTCTGATTACAAACCCTGGAAACCCGCAAAAACGTAGGTTTTGGTAATTCAAGGTATACCTTAACCTACCAAAACCTACTTTTTTGTAGGGTCCCTGGAAATTCCATATTAGGGTTTATAATAAGAACCTACAAGAAAGTAGGGTTTGGTAGTTTAAGGTAGGTTAGACACTTACGGGTGGCAGGGTTTGGAGGACATCGCCTGGAGTCCGGATTCCAATTTGCCAGGAGTTGAAGCTCGTAAAGTAAAACTACTAAATAACAAAAGGGGATGGCTAGGGTTCAAGCCTTTTAGGGCTTGTCACTGATTCGTTTTTAGGGGTTTGGGTTTTATGGGTTTGGGGTTTAGGGTTTAGGTTTAGGGTTCTTGTCGGGCTGCAGGCGTTTGCTTCTTGTTGTTTTGCTTTGTCTTGGTCTTTCTAACGTTGGTGGATCTTGTTGAAGGGACCCCGTGTAGACTTCACGCCAAACTCTAGACATAGACCTTCACCCTCCAGCGCCGAAGCCGCGAACCCAAAACCCAAGCTGCGCTACTCTACACCCTGAACCTCTTTGCATGTCTAATATCGTTACAAACTTTTCGCACCTTTACACAACCCGGATGACAGCTTGTGAGAACCTGTAGAAAACTCTCTGAACCCTGAAAAACGCTGCGCAGACCGCTTACACAAACCATAAATGGCAACGGAGACACATTTAAAGCGTCGAGGCCAATAAGAAAATCTGTAAAGTCTGTATAGCAACCTTATACAACCCTCCACAAAGTTTTCTTAAAAAGTTACAGAAACCCTAAACTCCAAACCCTGATCCCTACACCATCTAAAACCTCTACAAAGTTTTTTACAAGTTAAAGCGAACCGCCAGGTCGTACTTCCACTCTCCGGCAACCTCGGCCCCTAGCTCCGCAGCACGGCGCACGACACCACCGACCAGGATTCCGGCGTTTTGGAGTTTAGAGTCTAGGATTTTAGGTTTCGAGTCGCGGAAGGCTTTTGGGGGGCATGGATTTAACTTTAGGGTTCAGAATTTACGGCATGCGTTTAGAGTTTAGGGTCTTTGAAAGCTTTGGGTTTTAGGGTTTTAGGGCTTGGGTTTAGGGTTCCAAGGGCGTTTAGGGCTTCTGGTAAACTACCGTTGTCTCTTTGTAATCGGTGTTCAGCTCGCCTAGGGTTTACTGGTTAGGGTGTAGGGTTTAAGATATGGGGAACACAAACCCAGAGAGCCCAATGCACCTGAAATAAGGAACATACCTTAAATCATAAGGGGCTTCATACTCTGATTTAAGCTATATTCCTTCATTAACGGCTATATGGGTCTTACAAAAACTCCATTAAAAAACCGTAAAGAAGCCCTTGAATGAACCCCAATTTATGGCCATATTCCTTAACTAGGGCGTAGTGATCACAGGGGAAGAGGACGGACCCTGAATGGGGACCCCTACCCTATAATGGGCTATATAATGGGTATATAGTATTATCTATATTAAGGGTATATACCTAGGGGTCCTTATTAAGGGTCCCTCCTTTTACCCTTGGAATTGAGCTCTCTGCTTGGAGGCCCGGGGGACTTCGTAAGTCGGCTATAAGTAGGGTAGTTATTATTGGGGTATCTCCATTTAGGATACTTTACTTATAACCTACATACTAAGTCTTCTAGGCCTCCAAGGAGGGGGTAAGGGGTATTGAGCTCTCTGGGAAGCTTTGTTGAAGGAGTGCGCACTGGGAGGGCGTTAAGCTTAAAACCGTGTCCCATTTCTGCAAAGTGCAATTCGCACGCGGTGCCCCGTCTTCGAGCTTTTCAAGTGCACTTGTAGCTCTGTCCCGACCCTCCTCGTACCATGGCGGCGCCGGCCATGGAGGCAGAGGCCGACTACCGGGAGGTGCTCAACTTGTTACCCGTGTTCTGGCTCCCGGTGTGCCTACGGGAGATCG